CTTGACGGTCTTGGACAAGATCTGGGAGAATTATCTGGAGTACCAGGGAGAGACTCTTGTTCTCTTCCTGTACTTACTCCCAAACAAACAGAGTCTCTCTTTGTTCTGAGTCACCTAAAGCTGGGGTGTACTCTAAAGCTGGGGTGTACTGACACAAGCACCTCTGTGGCCACTGCCACCATAACTGCTCTGGATAACACCTGATGCCAGCACAGTACTAGGTCTCACCAAAGGCTTGCTGTAACCATTCCTTGGCTACTGCATATGTTCACTCAAGGCCCCAGGGCTCTTTGATCATTTGATGACAAAGCCAGCTGGGCCTATGACCTTCCCTTCAGGGTGACAAGGTCTCCCAGGCACCAGGTGGGTCCAGAGGTGCTGTACAGGAGTCAGGGACTACAGTCAGAAACCTTAGAAGTCTACCTGGTCTTCTGTTGTACTGCAGCTGAACTGGCTCTCAAAGCACAAGGTGCAGATCAATGCACAAGATGCAGTCCTTCCTCCTCCTCCTTCCCCTTTCCAAAGGCTGTGGAGCCTCACTCTGTAACCACTACCGCCCCAGGCCAGAAGGAGTACTGCCAGACTAGCACCAATGTTCTCTAAAGGCCCAGGAGCTCTTAAGTCAGCTTGTCGTGAATACTGCCTGGCCTGGGACTCACTCTTTAGGGCCATGTGCTCCTCTCTGGCCCAGGACAGGTCTAGAAATGCAATTCAGAAGTCAAGTCCTGGAGTCCAGGACTCCAAGAGCCCACTTGGTGCTCTATCCCCCAGTGGCTGTGCTAGTACCTAAGGCACAAGACAAAGTCCCCTTTGCTTTTCCCTCTGCTCTTCTCAAGCAGAAGTTTTGCCCCACAGCCACCACAACTAGTAATGTACTGAGTCTCACCTGAAGCCAGCCAGTCTCAGAGGCTCACCCAAGGCCCCCAACATATTGCCTGGGTGTCGCTGTTGGTTATTTAAGGCCCAAGGGCTCTTCAGTTAGCAGGTGATGAATGCTGCCAGGACTGGGTCCTTTCCTTCAAGTAAAAAAAGTACAGGAGTAAGTATGGGAAGAGAACAAGAGTTTCTGCCTGGTAATCCAGTTAATTCTCCCAGATCTTATCCAAGACCATCAAGGCGCTACCTCTAAAAGTCTGCAAGAACCACACTGTTACTGAGGAGTCGGTCCCCTCCTGGCTCAGGGTATGTCTAGAAATGTCACCTGGGAGCTAGGACCTGGAATGAGGGTTCAGGACCCTGATTAGTGCCCTCTCCTGCTGTGGCTGAGCTGGTATCCATGATGCAAGATACAGTACACTCCCTACTGTTCCCTCTTCTCTCCTGAACCAGAAGGAAGGGCTATCTTTTGGAGCCATGAGCTGTGTAGCCTGGGGCAGGGTAGGGGTGATGTCAGCACTCCCTTGGCTGCCCTGACTGGTGTCTCAGTGGGTCACATACCCACCCCCAGTGCACTCTCTTTAGGCCTAGTTCAGCACTAGGATTCACCAAGTATTGCAGTCCTTATGGCGTAGATTGCCTTTTAAGTTTATTTAGAAACACAGCACTGTAGCCCATGGTGGTAAGGTTTGCAGGAACTCAAGTCCTGACCATTGGGATCGGCTGTTCCCTCTGGCTGGGGCTGGATTAAATGCTTCCTCCATGGGTGGCCATTAGCTGAGTTTGGTCCTCTTTCCCTTTCTGCTCTAACCTGACAGCACAGAGGGGAAGGGTGGCATCAGCGATTCAAGACTGTTTTTTCTATCTCTTCAGTGCCTCTTTCATTGATATGAAGATAAAACCAGGTACTATGAGGGCTCATCTGATTTTTGGTTCTTATGAAGGTGTTTTTTTCTGTGTAGACAGTTATTAAATTGGTGTCCTTGCTGGGGCGATGATAGGTGGCACCTTCTATTCCACCATGTTGCTCTGCCTCTAAATCTTCCACAATTTTTATTAAGCAGATTTTTTTCTTCTGAATCCTCTATATTCTTTATCTTTTTTCCTCATTATTTCTTTGTCTAGCTTTTTGCATCATGTTCAGGAAGAATTCTTTGATATGATCTTCCAAATCACTGGTTCTCTTTCTGATTGTATCTGTTCTGCACTTCATTTCTGGCATTCAGTTTCTGTAATTTGTTAATCATATTTTCAGTTTTTAAAGGTTTCTTTCTTTTTCTCTGATTGCTGCTTTTTCTATAGCTCTTTTTTTATGGATCTAATATGGATTTTATCTCAGGACACTTAATAAAATTACTTGAATGTTCCTTTCAGCTGCCTGCGTTTGCTCTCTCCTCAGAATTTAACTCTCTCCTCATTTAGCTTTCAGGCTATGAGGTTAGTTCTAAGGTCTGCCAATTCTCAGTTGTTCCTTTTCAAATACAAATTGATCTGCATTGGTAACTGGTCTCCTTTCCTCACCAATTCTTTAGGTTCCCTTCCAACATCTCTTGTCAGGTCTGCCTGCTAAATGTGGTGACTAACTGTAATATGTGTACTCCAAGGTTCATGGGCAGGCAGGGGAGGCCAGCAGGTTGGCCTCAAATAAACAAGAAGGGAAAGTTACCCCTTAGAGCTCCTCAGGGCATTTCACGCCTGTCTCAAGTTGCATCTTTCCTTAATTACCAGTTCAGTAATAACTGGAGCAATGCTCTACTTTTCTCTCTGGCCCCAGTTCTCATTCTAGGAGTCTCCCTTGACTGATCCTTTACTCAGAGATCCTGGGAGCAAACACAATAACTAGCTGCTCTCTGTGCCACCTGGAAAGTGGGGCACTGGCCTGGCACTTTGACTTTCTGGTCAAGCATCCTATAATATACTTCCCTATCCTGCTGACCTTGGGTTTATTTTTCTCTTGAGAATATTAGCATATTCAGATTTGACAGTAATATCAAACACCTACTCTATGCCAGGAGCTATGCAAGGCAGAAATAATATAGTAATGAATACAACAGATGGTGACTTGTCCCACTGAAGTTTGCAGCCTCGAGAATTATTTATTCAGCAGCCCCCTCCTTCAATGTGGTGGCCTGTGTGTTTCTCAATGCTTTGGTATTCCTGTCAGCCTGCTACCACCCAGAAATTCTTCAGCTCCCCTCAACTGGCATTTTCTAGGTAATGCCTAGGACTTAGTCTTATCTTATAGGTCACATTGTACTGGGATCTGGAAAGGAAGAAGCATGTTGGCTGAGTGCACCACCTTGAACCAATTCTTCTTTTTGCTTCAAGTGGAGTTCAGATGCTCTTTAAGACTCTATAAACAAAAGAAGTCACTTCCACTTCCCAAAGGCTTTGAATACAATTATTCTTAGGTTGGTTCTGGCTCTGTAACTGGCATTTCTTTGGAGATTGGAGGGAGAAATCAGAGCCCTAGTCATATTCCAACATCAGGGAGCAAGTCTAGGAGTGGGACTGCACAGCTCACCATCCTGCTTTTTCATTTTGCTTCTAACGTTTTTCATGATCCCCTAATTCGTGTGATTTTTAAAAATATGGTTGGGATCACTAACAGCTCAGGATTGTAGCTCCCAGTGAAAGCTCAGAGAATGAGAGGATGCCACACTTTCAGACAAATTTTTGTTGCTCACGGACCAGAATATTCCCAGTGGAGGAGCCCCATGGGTCGCCAGCGCAACTCTTGTGGCTGGCACAGCGGTTTTGCCGGCGCCTCGGTGCAGCAGCTCTTGGTGCAGAGTAAACAGGACTGGTTCCCCCTTGGACCAACGTTTGGAGCTCCAGGAAGGCAGAAGCCTATTATGGACTCAAGAAGAAAGCCAGACCGGGAATTCCCAGGCAGAAGAGCACCATCAGTCTTAATGCCACTGTTTTGGCCGGCGCAGTGGGTTGCTCAGATTCTGGCACTGGGAATCAATAAATTGGACATCCACTCAGAAACCTAGTTAGAAAGGCGGTAATTGTAAAGACGACAGATGGATAAATTTATAACGAAGAGAAGAAACCAGCCTAAAAAGGCTGAGAATACCCAAAATCAGAACACCTCTCCCTCTACAGGGTATTACAGTTCCTCATCAGCAACGGAACAAGGCCTGATGGAGAAGGACTGTGTTCCGTTAACAGAAGTAGGCTTCAGAAGGTGGATAAGAAACTTCTGGGAGTTAAAAGAACTTGTTCTAACCCAATGTAAAGACACTAAGAACTTTGAAGAAAGGTTTGATGAAATGCTAACAAGAATAGACAATATAGAGAGGATTATAAATGAATTAACGGAGTTGAAAAACACAACACGAGAACTTAGCGAAATATGCACAAGTTTTAATAGCCAAATTGATCAAGCAGAAGAAAGAGTATCAGAGTTCAAAGACCAACTTAATGAAATTAAATGAGAAGACAAGAATAGAGAAAAAAGGATAAAAAGCAATGAGCAAAGTCTCCAAGAAATATGGGACTATGTGAAAAGACCTAATTTACGTTTGATAGGTATACCTGAATATGAAGAGAATGAATCCAAGCTGGAAAATACGCTTCAGGATATTATTCAGGAAAACTTTCCCAACCTAGCAAAGCAGGACAATATTCAACCCCAGGTAATACAGAGAACACCACAAAGATATTCCTCAAGAAGAGCAACCCCAAGGCACATAATTGTTAGATTCACCAGGGTTGAAATGAAGGAGAAAATACTAAGGGCAGCCAGAGAGGAAGGTCAGGTTACCCACAAAGGGAAGCCTATCAGACTTACAGCAGATCTCTCAGCAGAAATCCTACAAGCCAGAAGAGAGTGGGGGCCAATATTCAACATCCTTAAAGAAAAGAACTTTCAGCCCAGAATTTCATATCCAGCCAAACTAAGCTTCACAACTGAAGGAAAAATAAAATCTTTTATGAACAAGCAAGTACTCAGAGATTTTGTTACCACCAGGCCTGCTTTACAAGAGCCTCTGAAAGAAGCATTACACGTAGAAAGGAACAACCAGTATTAGCCTTTCTAAAAATATACCAAAAAGTAAAGAGCATCAACATTATGAAGAATTTACATCAACGAATGGACAAAACAGCCAGTTAACATCAAATGGCAGTAATCCTAATTTTAAATAGACTAAATCCCCCAATCAAAAGCTATAGCCAAAACCCAAAGGTATGCTACATCCAGACCCATTTCACATGCAAGGATACACAAAGACTCAAAACAAAGGAATGGAGAAAGATTTACCAACCAAATGGAGAGCAAAAATAAATAAATAAATAAAAAGCAGGAGTTGCAATTCTTGCCTCTGATAAAATAGATTTTAAAGCAACAAAGATATAATGGTAAAAGGATCAATGCAACAATAAGAGCTAACGATCCTAACACCCAGATACATAAAACCTATAAAGAGACTTAGACTCCCTAGGCTCTCACACAATAATAGTGGGAGACTTCAACATCAATATTAGATAGATCAACGAGACAGAAAATTAATAAGGATATCCAGGACTTGAACTCAGATCCGGAACAAGTAAATTTAATAAACATTTATAGAGCTCTCCACTTTAAATACACAAAATATACATTCTTGTCAGTACCACATCACACCTACTCATAGGTTTAAATGAAATATTGATATTAAGTACAATTGTTGGCAGAAAAGAGGTTTTCAATACCCATTTTTAGAATAAAGCAACATTCCCGTTCTCTCTCCCTTTTTCTTCCTCTTTCTTCCTCTCCTTCACTCCTTTTTCTTTCTTTCCTTCTCTCCCTTCTAAAAAAAAAAAAGAGAGAAATAAGAAAAAAAAATATGGGTGGGAAGGTGCCACTTCTGGAGCATAAGAGTAGAAGAGCATCTCATCCCCTCCCCCCCCCACATCCCAACTCCTACTATGCTTCTCAAGAAGGACTGTCTCTACACATTTTGCTTCACTCCCTGATGTCTGAAAAGCAATCAGATAGGAAGATTTCTTCAGGTCTTCTTTGGAACCCAAGAGATCTCTTTCTGCCTTCCAGTTGCTCCTGAACTTTGGCAGAAAATTCTGTTTTCAGAATCGGTCCTTTTTCTAGTTGACCTTTGTTGATAAGTTCCTTCCCTGCTCTGGTTTCAGTAGACTTGTTTTTGTTAGAACTGAATTGAGTGAAAGGCTTACTTTCTCAGAAATAAGGACACACACCTCACAAGGCAACTTGTTTAGTCACCCTTAGGCAAACACCAAATTGAGCATTTAGCAATTCCTGGTTTGAAGCTGGAGGAAAGGGTCCAAGAAATCTAACGTCCAGTTCCAAGAAAGTATAGGCACTATTTGTGTACTTTTCTTTAGATGGTTGTCATTTTTAACCAAGTAGCTACACGGTCAACCTCTGATAGCTCTGTGACCACATCTAGGTGACAAAGTCAATCAAACCACCCTTGGCCTACCTGCCCCGAAGCAACAAAGATCTTGTCTTCTGATGAGGATTTAAGAAAGACTAAGTCATCCTGACAAGGAGGAAGTTAAAAAAGGTCCAGGCAGCCCAGGTTTGTTTTTTTTTTTTCAGCAACAGTATTTCTGTGGCTGGTCTCTTTTAGCACACAAAAAAAGATTGTGGCTAATAGATATGTCGGAGCTTTTCAGAAACACAGTCCTATTTTTTATGTGTTCTGCAGCTTTCAAAAAAAAAGGGGAAATCAATCCTTTGCAGCTTCCAAGAAAATGGTTTTTCTTTTCTTTCTTTTTGTTTAGGATTCGAAATCCTAGAATCATTCAGAAAGAGGGAGGGATGAATGTTTTCAAAAGAATTGACTCCTTCACTCCACATATGCAGTTACAACCATGTGCAAAAGAGAAGGTATTATTGGTATTACTGGGTTACAGTTTGGACTTATTTAAGTAGAGAAGACTTGTACTATGTAGCCAACATCTATTATATAAAGTTGCCGATGAGACTAATCCTTGGAAACTAGATAAATAGAAGTATGTGCTCCAATAAAGTGTCTCCCTTGAAGATTATCTCACAACCCTTTGGTGTAGGGTATATGGAAACACTATACCCTACACCAAAGATGTGGGTGATTGAAAAATATAGGCTGGGTGCGGTGGCTCACACCTGTAATCCCAGCACTTTGGGAGGCTGAGATGGGTGGATCGCCAGAGGTCAGGAGTTTGAGACCAGCTTGACCAACATGGTGAAACCCCATCTCTACTTAAAATATAGACTGGGCACAGTAGCTCACATCTGTAATCCCAGCACTTTGGGAGGCTGAAGAGGGTAGATCCCTTGAGGTCAGGAGTTTGAGACCAGCCTGGCCAACTTGGTTAAACCCCATCTCTACTAAAAATACAAAAATTAGCTGGGCTTGGTGGCATGTGTCTGTAGTCCCAGCTATTTGGGAGGCTGAGGCAGGAGAATCGTTTGAACCTGGGAGGCAGAGGTTGCAGTGAGCCAAAATCTCGCCACTGCACTCCAGCCTGGGTGACAGAGTGAAACTCCGTCTCAAAAAAAAGAAAAAAATATACATACTATGCACATACACATACTCCCTTCTGTGTGCGTGTGTGTGTGTGTGTGTGTGTGTGTGTGTCTTAAACACTCATAGGTACCTAAATTTGTATATAAAGATTTGTATAGACAGGCTTGATTTTCAGACATATCGTGAATATAATGTCTATTTATACCTCTTTCTTCTTGGCTGGGTAACTCTCATTTTTCTTCTTAATCACCTTTAAAACAACTGTGGCCTCTTTTTGAGTTGACGTTTTTTAACTTTATTCAATACCTATACATAAATCAATGGATCAACTTCTGAAGACAGCATTGTCTTCGAGGGAAGGGGAGGGAGTTCACAGATAGAGGGGAGCAGGTTTCCTGGAGCCTTTGGCTCAATGTTAGGTTGAGCTTGAGATTTCAGTTAGGAGACACTAAAGATAGAACTGGCCTCTGTGGCTTCCTTTCCATTCTCTTACTTTTCTTTCCAGTTTCTTTCCATTTTCTTGGTTCTGAAGGTACAGTCTTTGAATTAACATCTGACCACCTCAGGGGACTGAGGTAATCGAGTAAAAACAGACCCAAAGTGGCAACACTAAGAGACTTGGAATTAATATATCTTTTGGGGCCAAAATATTCAGCATAATTAAGCATAATTTGATTAATGTGGGATGTAATTTAATTAGGCATATAGACAAAGGAGGGAGAAAAGGTTCTCCATTGTGAAGAAGAGATCTCTATAGTACATGCTGGAACTAAAATTATGAGGGCAAGTTTGAAGATAATATAAAAACCCATATTTAAGTCCAAGAGGTTTCTTAGACTTCTGTTTTTATCTCCACATGTGGACTTATTCAGCAATCTAGAGTGTCTATAAAATTTAATGTAAACTGCTACATTTGGCTTTCTACCAAAAGAAATTCAAACTGTACACTTTTGACATTTAAAATATGAAGTATTACTATAAACTAAATATAAAACTCAATTCCCTTCTTTCTTTTACTCAGTAATCATCTATTGAGATTGAATATGGGTCAGGTACCATGCAAGACATTAAAAATTTAAAGACAAGTAAGAAATAGTCTATCTCTGACCTCAAGGAGCGAGAGAGGCTGAGCACGGTGGCTCCTGTGTACTTCTGTAATCCCAGCACTTTAGAAGTCGAAGGTGGTAGGTTCACTTGAGGACAGGGTTTTGACATCAGCCTGGGAAATACAGCAAGATCCCATCTCTACAAAACAAAGAAAAGAACCTCAGCCTGGCATGGTGGCACATGCCTGTAGTCCCACTACTTGGAAGGCTGAGGCTGGAGTATCTGTTAAGCACGGGAGTCCCAGGCTGCAGTGAGCTAGGATCATGCCACAGTACTTCAGCCTGAGTGACAGAGTGAGACCTTGTCTCCAGAAAAATAAAAAGGAGTAAGGGAATGTAAGGCAATGATTCATATAAGGACAATGAAGCGTGTGTTCCAAGAATGGTATCCCATAGGTCTCTCCAGGAGGCATCTCGGGATGTGGCAAGAGCAGCCAAGATGGAGACTGCAGAGTCCCAGTCTCTGAAGTGACACGCCAGCACTTCTGCCATAGTTTTCTGATCACGCAGATCAACCTGGGTACGGGTGGGAGAGGACTCCAAAAGGGTATGGATACCAGGAGCACGTGCCCACTGGGGACTGTCTGGGGAGACTGGCTACCATAGTTCTCCAGAGACAGGCAGAGGACGTAAGGCAAATAACAAAGTACTGCATTTTATCAATTGAGCCACCATCCAATAACCCCCTTTACAAGTTTTAACTAAAAATGAATACAAGCCATAAGGCCTAAGCAGAATCTCCTACTTCTTCCTGAATCTAAACCTTGGGGTCTGAGTACCTTTTAGAAGGATGCATGGAGGAAAGATAACAAAATTGATAGACAGCCAGGGGTCCCGGACAAAACTCCGCATCCAAGCTAAAGTAGCCTGAAGGCTGAAAAGCCGGACCGCTGGTCCAGGACAAAACCTGCCATTTCCCCACCAATTCTTTCTGAAAAAGACCCACCTGCACACTGGGAGGATGGGGTGGAGCCTTGGGAAGTTCATGGAGTTTACAGCGAGGAGGAGCTTGGCTTCTTCTGTTCCTGTGTGGTGACCTGGGATTCAATCTGTGAGGTGGGAATCCTGCTAGCAGGATTTTCTCTCACTTGGCAGAGTATTATTTTCCCTTTTTCCTTTTCACCCAATAAATTCCTCTCCTCACCCCTCTATGTGTTCACGAGCCTAATCTTTCCTGGTTGAGTGACAAGAACCTGGTTTTAGCCGAACTAAGGAGGAAATTCTGCAACAAAACGACAGAGAAAGGAAAATGATTTATCTCCCTAGTCACTTGGATGAGGAGGTAGAGAAGCAGAGCAGGCTGATGCACTTGTCCACCCAACTGCATAGAGAGGGAGAGATAGAGAACCATTGCTAAGGATGGCATCTCTGTCCACTAACCATGAGGGTCTATCTCTGGCTCCAATCTCTGACCAATCAGATTAGCAACTCCTCTTCCCTTGGGTTGGGGGCAGGGATGCTAGGAAGAGGTGGGGATGGCATGGGAGGAGGACTGACAAGTTCTTTTTCCTGTACAGAAGGTATTGTCTTCCCTGTTTTTCACGTAAGGAAACAGATGTGGAAAGGTTAAATGAAGTTTGGTGAGGCCTGTTTCCAAGAAATCATGACTGAAAATCCCAACTTTTAAATTCAGCCATAGTGATTGCATCAGGTCAAAGACACCGTAATTGCTGCTGAACTTGTGGTGAACTCCAGATCTATCTTTTAGGCATTTCTTCTATGTCACAGGTGTTTGGGTTATCCATTAAAGACCCACACTGAAGAAATAGAACCATAGGAGAGAACTTGGAAACATTTTTTTTCACTATCTGTTCTTTGCAGAGATAAAGAAACTGACATTCCTAGGGAATGAAGCCTAGGTCCTTGTGCCCCCAGTCTGGTGCTTTTTCATTGGTGGCACTGTGGAGGGGTTGTTGAGTATGTGTTCCCTCTGGGACTGACTGGAACCTTCCTCTTCCCCAACTGTGAGGCACGTGAATGTTATGGAAAGAACAGTTCTTGCAGCTGGAAGCCCCCGGTGAAGTTCCAGCTCTATCCTGCATAAGAAGCTTGTGTGATCCAGGTATGCTCTCCTCTGTTTCTTCTTTTGAAAAATGGGTATAATGAAATTTGCAGGAAATTCCACCTGCCCTGGAACTGAGGTGCAAAGCCTGGAAGTTTGACGGAATCAGTAGGAGGGCCTAGATGAGCTCAGCTATTTCGGACATGCAGTGAAAAAGACCTGTAATTGAACTTCTCTGTATCCTCCATCCAACTTAAGAAATTATAAACCAAAAATAAAATTCCAAGGCTCCCCTCCCCCAGCCATCTGAATGGACTCCCTTCTTGGCCAGGGCACTCTTCAAATTTAACCTGAAAGACTGGTTCAGGCCATGATGGGTAGTGGGGGTCGGAAATGCCTCATTGTATTATATCTTTCCAGTGTTAACATCCACACAGACTGATAAGAACAGTCTGATAAGAAGCATTTTATAACCTATTCTCTCTGAAGCCTGCAAATAAGAACTTTGGTCTCCATAATCCTTTATCTTAACCCAGACACTTCCTTTCTGTTGATCCCACCTCTTTAGATAAACACAACCAATAGTCCACCAGACGTTTAAAGCTACCCACAGCCTGCTTGCAGTTGTTCCACCTTGCTGAACCAAACCAACCAATCAACGTTTGTTGATTTTTGTTTTTTGTTTGTTTTTGTTTTTTGAGACAGTCTCCCTCTGTCCCCCAGGCTACAGTGCAGTGGCACTATTTTGGCTCACTGCAACCTCCACCTCCTGTGATTCTCATGCCTCAGCCTCCCGAGTAGAGAGGTTAGGAGTTTGAGACCAGCCTGGCCAACACAGCAAAACCCCATCTCTATTAAAAATACAAATGTTAGCCGGGCGTGGTGGCAGGCTCTTGTAATCCCAGCTACTTGAGAGGCTGAGGCATGAGAATCGCTTGAACCCTGGAGGCAGAGGTTGCCATGAGCCGAGATTGTGTCACTGCACTCCAGCCTGGGTGACAGAGCAAGGCTTTGTGTCAAAAAAGAAAGGAATAAATCTCTTCAAATATTTTACAGAGTTTGACTCTTTTTGTTTACACTGGGATGGGGACTGGGGTTATGCAGGGAGGTGTGCATGTGCACACTTATGTGTGTGGGATGGAAGGGGTTAATACTCACCTGTTTGCAGACTACACTAGGGGCTATCTATGCACATATTCCTTCATAATCAATCTTTTTTTTTTTTTTTTTTTTGAGAGAGAGAGTCTCTCTGTCGCCAGGCTGGAGTGCAGTGGTGCAATCTCGGCTCACTGCAACCTCCGCCTCCCAGGTTCAAGCAATTCTCCTGCCTCAGCCTCCCAAGTAGCTGGGACTACAGGCATGTGCCACCACGCCCAGCTAATTTTCATACTTTTTAGTAGAGACGGGGTTTCACCATGTTGGCCTCGTGATCTCTTGACCTCACGATCTCCGCCTCAGCCTCCCAAAGTGCTGGGATTATAGGCATGAGCCACTGCGCCCAGTGCATGGTCAATCTGTTATTATCCCCATTTTAAGCCTGAGAAAACTGAGGTTCAGAGAGGCTGGAGAATAGGGTGAGGTTCAGTAATCTGACGCAGGTCAGATTCCAAAATCTGGGCTCCTCCCACTTCCCACCACACTGCCTGGCCCTTGCTCCTCCGACCTCCTTTTCCTCTCTCCTGCCAATTCTCCCCTTCCCTTTCCAAGAATCGCCTGTTTTACCCACTACTATAATTGCCAGTATTATGGTTATACTTTCTGTTATGCATTTCAGGGAGGTCATAGATTATGTTTCTCAACTGCTCCCGTGAACAAGATCTCATTTGGTCTCAACAACCCGTGTGAGATAGATAGGTGAGTATTAAGACCATTTTGCAAAAGAGAACAGAGCTGAGAGAGGCTAGAGATGTACGTCGCACCCAAGGCCCCCTGCTCTTCTCTCTCCAAATCCAGGGCTTCTTTGCTCATTCTGCTTTACCAGGTTCCTTTGCGGAGACCCTGCAGAGCCAAAGTCAAGTGTGTGCTGATCAGCAGCAACACACAATGTCTGTGAAACTGGATCTTGATTTTAAATTTTAATCTTTCGATATTTTGATCATCCTGGATTTTTGACATCAATTCTCACTTAAAAACACTGCATTAAATATTATTTGATTATTGTGTTGATTTGGTGCCCTTCAATTTTGCACCCCAGGACCCCAGGGCTCATTTTTATGAATAAAGTAGAGGGCTATTCCCTTTCCTCACTGATCTCACCTCAGTCCTACCCCTGCCCGTCTGTACCTGGTGTAAGAATTACACTGTGATTGCAGCTGTGACTTAAGCCAAGTGAGTGTTTTACTTGCCTTTTCTGACAATTCTTTGTTCTTTTGTTTGGTTCAGGGTGTCCCTCCCCTAATCTCCCTTCAAGGAACCCTGTCTGACTGGAATGATCTAGAAGGAGAGGTGGGCCCTGTGGGGGCCAGGATGGTGATGCCTGGCCTTGGAAGGGGGACACTTACCCTCTTTCTTCCGTAGGGCCCTTGCCGTTAGCTGGTGGATGCCCTCAGTGCTTTGAGCAAGTGAACACAATGAAGCCTTTTTCTGGAAGGGATCATTCGGGAATAAACTTTCATGAATACCTTCTTGCTCACTCCATCCTCTCCCCCGCACTCCCCCTCCAGCACTGTTGGCCTCTAGGGAAATAGAAGGAACAGCTTGATCAAGGTTTTTCCTAGAAAAGCCTTTCGATAGGCCCATTATGGAAAACGAAGCTGTTTTTGTTTTCTTTGATTAATCACAGTGTCCTGTTTCCCAAAGCAAATGTGGCCTTGGCTCTTCTGAAAGAACACAGCCTGTGCTGTAAAGAAGGGCTGCAGCCGCCTAGTGCTTGACAAGGTCCCCAAGATGGGAGAGGACACATGTAGTCCTGTCCTCCAGGACTCTGCTCTTCATTTTTTACCTTCCAGGGAGCTTGGGTTACCCGTTTCCTTTGTGTTTTTCTGCCAGTGTGAACAGGAGAAATATTAGCCTTTAGAGATTTCTTTACAGTTCCTTGAAAGCTGGAGGGGTGAAATCAGCCAGAGCATTATATAACAGCAAAGCTCATTTAAAGCAACAGTGTCTTTCTGTAGGGCTGTGGTGGTTCCTTATCAGTTTTTTTTTTTTACTAACTTTAAAGAAAAATATGCTAATTTTATGAATAAAGTAGAGGGCTATTCCCTTTCCTCATTATTTTCTGTTTGTTCATCGGATGGACACAATTCCTACGGTGTTGATTTAAAAAAAAAAATCTTTTTGAAGCCTCTTTCAAGGAAGACTAGGGGAAATCATGTATTTTAACCTCAGGCAGACACAGCATACTTTTTCTTGTTAGAATTCAGAAGGAAAAAAATTGAGAGAAAAGCTTTCTAAAGTATTTGTTTGTTTTAATTTAAGAATCATGGGGAATTTTATAAATACTCCGCTAAATTCTTCAAAGGGAGATGGCTCCCTCTTTAAATTTAAGCACTGGGCTGGGCACGGTGCCTCACACCTTAATCCCGGCACTTTGGGAGGTCGAGATGGGCAGATCACCTGAGGTCAGGAGTTCAAGACCTGCCTGGCCAACATGGTGAAACCCCCCATCTCTACTAAATATACAAAAATTTGCTGGGCACAGTAGTACACACCTGTAATCCCAGCTACTCTGGAGGCTGAGGCAGGAGAATTGCTTGAACCCAAGAGGCGGAGGTAGCAGTGACCTAAGATTGCACCACTGCACTCCAGCCTGGGCAACAGAGCAAGACTCTGTCTCAAAAAAGATAAAAACATTTAAGCACTAGATCATCTATTGCTTTGTCATTTGACCTAGAGCTTGAATACCTCTCAAAGTGCATCACACACAGTAGCGCAACTGATTTCCTTACTCTCTTGATTTGACCTTCTCTTTCTTCCCATTTTAGAGATGAGGAAACTGAGGCCAAAGGAGTCTGTGACTTGCCTGGCTTCACAGCTCGCCTGCAGATTCTGAACCGGCATCTTCCTCTCTCTGGCATCTCCCAGACCCTATCCTCTTTCCTCTGTACCATTGGTTCTCAAACAAGGGTGATTTTGCCTTCCAGGGGACATTCGACAATATCTGGAGGTGTTTTTGGTTGTCACAACTCTATGTATATGTGTGGGTAAGCAAGGGATGGGGGGTAATGTTGGCATCTAGTGAATAGACACAGGGACTCTGCTAAACCTACAATGCTCAGGTGGCCCCTCACAAAGGAGTATGTTGTCTAATGTGTCAATAGTGCAGAGGTTGAAAAGCACTGGTCTGTACACAGCTCAGCCGTCCAGGGCAACTGCAACCTCTGGGAGTTGCCAGGAGATTTTTTGCCCAGCAATAGGCTTGGTCTCTCTCCTGTGGCTGCCACAAGAGTTAAAGCCACTGTCTAGAATGCCCTTTGGCAGTGGCCAAGTGTCCCCTGTGGAGCTGACTGCGGGACATACCGTGCATCAGCCGGAGCTGATGTGTTTTATAATTTATAGTCACAGGGCACCTGTCTTCATTTAGCAGCAGGCCTGCTAGCAGCCTCCCTGCCAGGGAGGAAGCAAGTTCCACAGAGGCCTGCAGCCCCCGCCAGCTGACAGATCATGGCATTTGGGGACAGCTTTTGCTCAGAGGCACCTGGGAATAGGCCGGGGCCGAGATGGCACTGAGTGCTCAGTCTCCCCTTCAGACCCATCCGTCAGCAGCGGTCCCTGCCAGAAGATGGCCTATTGAACATTTCCAGAAATAGCACTGCCAAGCCTGTCAACTGCTTTCTTGGAAATACGCTCAATAAGGATGGCGGTCCTCCAGCAGGGAGAGTAGAAAGCCTGGCCTGGATCAGGCTCCCGAGAAATGGCAATGCCTGGCTACAGGCTATGTCAGTGCCTTGGGAAAGGGGAGCGGGTCTCATGGGACTTCCCAAGCCCTGCAACCTCTGAAGTCACTTCAGAATGTTCTCAGTATGGAGGATGAGAGTCACACCTTGCAGAAGGCCTTAGGCCCTGCTGACTTCATCTAACTCAGCGACCAGCATATCTTGCTGTGTTTGTTTAGACACCTGCAGACAGGAAGGCGATTCAGGCTTGGAAGCAAGGTATTAACTGTCAGCAGAGAGGGACCTCTGCGTCGTCTGGGGAATGTCTATTTGCAGTTGCTCTTCTTGTGAACTTCACTCCCAGATAGAACCAAAGGAGCATCAGAAGGCCCCATCCTTCTGTCATTCCAAGGATATAGAAAATACAAGGCGAAGATGTCATCTTGAAAGAAAAGCTTGTAATTTATACTCCTCCCCTCCCCACTTCCCGCAGAATTAACTTTCCCCCACAGAGGCTTGACATTGCGGTTGCAGTTCAGCCACCCTCTGCTCCCTGAGCCTTCTCCAATGTCTGGCATGGCACAGTGATGCCAGGGTTTAAGCATGCCCTAAGAAGGCTAGCTGCCTTAAAAAAAAAAAAGAGCTCCTTGAAGATGTAGGTGTCACTTAAAAGCAAGTGATCAAAATCTCTGTGCAATTTGGGGTGTTCAGGAAATGTTGGTTAATCACATTTTAAAAATTATAAGAGACTGCTGGACATGGTGGCTCCCTCCTATAATTTCAGCACTGTAGGAGGCCAAAGCGGGAGGATTGCTTGAGCCCAGAAGTTGAAGACCAGGCTGGGCGGAACCTCACCTCTATAAAAAATTTGAAAATTAGCCAGGTGTGGTGGTGTACACCCCTATAGTCCCAGCTACTTGGGAGGCTGAGGTGGGAGGATTGCTCGAGCACAGGAGATTGAGGCTGCAGTGAGCCATGATAGTGCCACCACACCCCAGCTTGGGGTTATAGCAAGACCCTGTCTCAAAAGAAAAAAAAAAAAAGGATAAGATAGTTACCAAGTTTATTATAGAGAATTCATGGGGACCTGGTTTTATTCCCAAGAGCCACCGACTCTCAGGACAAACATGATTTGAAGCCCACACTGAGCCATAGGTGGAGGCAGGGCTGTGAGAATAGAATACAGGATGCCCAGTTAAATTTAAATTTCAGGTAGGCAACCAATTTTTTTTGGTATCAGTGTGTTTCAAATATTAGTATTTGTTTATCTGAAATTCATACGTAATGGGCATCAGGTGCTTGTTCAATCTGTTCACCTCATTTGGGGTATACGTTAATTTGTGAAATTGATAACAGGGAACACTGACACATATTCAGCATATATGGAAGACCGTACAGTTAAGAGAGGAGGAAGGAGAAGGAGATTAGCAATGAAGGGGGAAAGCAAGAGTAATGCCAGGAAGAAGGGGAGATGGGCACAGCAAAGGAGCAAAGATCTGAATGAAGGAGAAACAGGAAGTACAGAGGAGAGAGAAGAAAAGGAAAAAACAGGGATGTTTCTGAGGAACAAAAATGTTTGATAAATTATGACAGTTACACAGAGGGCCATCTCTCTGGGAAATGCTGTCGAGCCGACTAACCGCGTTACCAGATCCGCTGCTCTTTGTTCTGTCTGGTAAAACCCACAGTGACCTCTAGGGAAAAATGAATCTCTAAGCCATGGTACTGTCAGCTGGGGTCACTATTACCCTGGGCTCAGGTTGTTAAATAAACTTTACAGGAGGCCACTGCTTTGGACAGAGTCCTTGCACTGGGCTACATGAGAGTCACTGGTGCTACACAACATGTGACCAAACTGAACTTTAAAACGGGCCAGTTTTCAGTAACAGCAAACAACAGCAAGTTTTCTTCATCTGGGGTGATACCTGAGGTTCATTACCTCATGCCAAAGAAATCAAGGATGCAGACACACACAACAAGTGAGTTTAGCCAGGCACAGTGGTGCGTGCCTGTAGTCCCAGCTACCCGGGAGGCTGAGGTGGGAGGATCTCTTGAGCCCAGGAGTTCTGGGCTGTAATGCGCTATGCAGATCGGGTGTCTGCACTAAGTTCGGCAACAATATGGTGACCTCCTGAGAGCAGGGAACCACCAGGTTGCCTAAGGAGGGGTGAACAGGCCCAAGTTGGAAACAGAGCTGGTCAAAACTCCCGTGCTGATCACTAGTGGGATCGCACCTGTGAATAGCCACTGCACTCCAGCCTGGGCAACATAACAAGACCCCATCTCTAAAAATAAAATAAAATAAAATTTAAAAAGAGTGAGTTTAATAAGTGAAAGAGAGAGGAGGGCAGATCACCTGAGGTCGGGAGTTTGAGACCAGCCTAACCAACATGGAGAAACCCCATCTCTACTATATATATATATATATATATATATATATATATATATATATATGTATATATATAATTTGCAAAAGGGAGAGAATAGGGCTCTCTCCTGCAGAGAGAGGGGCTCCCAAGTGGCTCTTCCAGTTCCAAGGTGAAATGCACAGGGTTTTATAGACAAGCTTGAGGAGGTGGTGTCTGATTTACATAGAGCCCAAAGATTGGTTGGACCAGGTATGTCATTTACATAGCATGCAAAGAAGCTGGCCACCCCACCCTAATTCTTTATTAGACGGATGGGTTCTCTACCTGGCCAGTGCCATGTTGCCTGTTCCTTTACTGTACATGTGGTTGACAAGAAAAGGGAAAATGGAGCCACCATGTTGAACATGCCTGGCCCCACAGTAGCCTTTTTCTATTGGCACAGCTGCCAGCATTCATCAGTGCAAGCTTCCAGCTTGCTCATCTATGTTTGCAGCTCGAATTTTCAGGCTGCTCTTTGTTAGAAAGGAAATTATTTGGGGGCTGCTTGTCTCGAAAGGGTAACCTCGCTGAGGACTCTCTTACCCTCACTAACTGCCTAAATAATTTCTTTCTTGCTCCTGTATCAAAAGGGTCCCCATCCACCTGTTCAGGCATGAGAAGGAAGTCCCCTCTTTAGAAACCCTATAAGGAAGGTAACTTTGAAATGACCAAGCCACTTCTTGTTCCTTGATCTTGCTATCCTCAGCCTTTTCTGCCTATATAAAACCCATCTATCTGCTCAGCTCTTCAGAGCACCTTTTCTGCTTTATAGATAAGACGCTGCCTGATTCACGAATGGATAATAAAAACCTATTGGACCTTTAAACTCAATGTGTGAAAATGTTGTTCTTTGACAGGGTGAAGCCACATCAAAGGCTGCATCCAACTGCAGGACCTAAGGGCCCTCCCCGCTCCCCCGCCCCCACAGGCTACTATCATTCATGGATTGAGGATTTTCAAAAAGTTGGGATCGAAACAACAAAATGCATTTGGTTGCCAGGATTCTATGACATGTTTTTGTTGTTGCGGATGATTCAGAAAACCCTTCAACCACTTCTTTCACCTCAGGGTCAGTGTGTTTGAGCAGGAGACTCATTGTAGGCCTGTGTGTGGACAACCGAGGTTCCTTGAATTATAAACACCCTTATTCCTGTCCCCACAGACAGGAGGTCAGGTTGGCTTAACCCAAAGGGAGAAGCCTGGGTGGGCTAGGGGTAGATGCGGTGAGAGAGGAGGCCTCCCAAGGAGGGACCTGTAGTGGCTGGATCTGCCATCACCGGCGATGTTGCAGAATTGAAAAGATGAGACAAGCTGGAGCCCTCCTTTTAGGGGCCCGTCGAGGATGGAGTGGTGGGAGATAGTCAAGCGTGGAAATAAAGGAAAAGCTTGAGTCCCTTTAAGGGAAATTCCAGGCACCTAGCTAGCTCCGAGGAGTTTAGCTCCATGCTAAGACCCTAGTCCAGATAAGCAACTTGAAAAGCAAGAAGGTAATAGTAGTCTAAAACAGGCTGGGCATGGTGGCTCATGCCTGTAATCCCAGCACTTTGGGAGGCTGAGGTGGGTGGATCACTTGAGACCAGCCTGGCCAGTATGGTGAAACCTCTACTAAAAATACAAAAATTAGCCAGGTGTGGCAGTGCTGCCTGTAATCCCAGCTATTTGGGAGGGTGAGGCAGGAGAATCGCTGAAGCCTGGGAGGTGGAGTTTGCAGTGAGCTGAGATCATGCCACCGCACACTAGTCTGGGCGACAAAGCAAGACTCCATCTCAAAAAAAAAAAAAAGTGGCCTAAAACAATAGCCAAGGAAGCTAGAGTCACAGGATGTTTGGCTCCCTATAGAAACTAAAGATAGCACCTTAACATGCGTCTCTGAGTTGTGTTTCAGAAACCTGGCTCTCACTGGACTCATCCTCCCTACACATAGATCTCAGATAAGGTGGAACTAGGAACTGAACTCCCACCTGGTTCTTTGTTCTAAATTTCATCCTGAAGGGTCTAGAGAAAGTCACACCCCTGAAACAGAGTTAACCTTTATTTCTGCTGACCCCAAATTTTTAAACAAAGCTCCTCTTTCTTAATCAGTTGCAAATCAGAAAAGCTTTGCAGCTACCTACGACCTATAAACTTTCTGCTTCAAGATAGCCTGCACTTTAGGCCCTAACCAGTGTGTAACCTGGGTATTGATTTATGAATTTGCCTGTAACTTCTGCTTTCCTGAAATTTATCCCTGCCTTTCAAAACCCTTACCTGCAAGCCATCAGGGAGGTGGAGACTTAAGCCTGGCTCTCCTTGCATGGTGCCCTGCAAATAATCACCTTGCTTTTTTCCTCTGTAAACCTCAGTGTAAATATCTGGTCTTACCACACTGGGGAAGTGGACCCCTGTTAGATTCTATCATGTAATAAAGGGGCTGCCTTTGGTTACCTGGGCTAGGGAGTAGTTTCCCATAAACTCCAGTGGGGAGTAGAAGAGACACACCAAATGTCTCGCCATGCTACCACCTCATTCCAGATACCTGGAGATATCTGGTTTGTTGATTTGGGATATCATTATTACAACAATAACATTTATGGAGCATCTACTCTGGGCCATTAGGCAGAAAGTAATTTATATGCATGATCTCAATTGATCCTCAACGAATGAGTCAGGAATAATACAGGGTGGAAATGGGAGAATAGAAAATTCCAGGCAGCATTTTCACATGCCTTGCAAAAAAGAAACGCTTGAAATAGCTATAGAAGCTAGGGGCTGCTAGGACCCTGAAAAACCAGGGTATGGGTCAAGCTGGCTAAGACTGACTGAACCCAACATAGTGCTGGATTTGACCTATGTTTCTCCCAGGATCTCAATACACCCTCACCCACCAGCGCCCTGACAGTCCTGGGAACACCCATATTTGGTATAAAAATAGGTGGCACTACAGTTCCAAGAAATCCTCACCTTTTTCTAGGAACCTTTATGAATAATCCACCCCTTGGTTAAAGAAATCTATAATGATAGGAACCCCAAGCTCCACGTGAGTCTCTTTTATGAGTACGCCAGCACTCCCTTTTCTTGAGTATGTACTTTTGCTTTGCAATCTATTTCTGTATCTAGCCAGGCGCAGTGGCACATGCCTGTAATCCCAGCACTTTGGGAGGCTGAGGCAGGAGGACGGCTTGAGTCCAGGAGTTTGAGACCAGCCTGGCAGCATAGAGAAACCCCGTTTCCACACATATGCAAAAATACAAAAATTAGTTGGGTGTGGTGGTGCACACCTGCAGTCCCAAGCTACACAGTGGATTGAGGTGGGAGGATCACTTGAGCCTGGGAGGTCAAGGCTGAGATCGTGCCCCTGCACTCCAGCCTGGGGGACAGAATGAGACCCTGTCTCAAAAATAACAATAAACAAATCTCCACACTGTCACTGTTGTTCAACTCCTCCTTGATTTCCTTCTCATGACAGTGCCAAGAGCCTGGACACTGGGTGGAGTCAAGGGCCCACCATTGTTTGGGGACTTCTCCCAGCCCACCAGTATCACAACTCTCTCATGTTGTAGGTCCAATATTATTCATATTACTACAGTGTTGCCCTAAGTCAAGAGATGGAGAAAATAGGACTGCAAAAAGTTAAGTTGTCTCAAAGTTAACTGATTAGTGAGGGTTGGGGCTGATGTTTGTCTCAGGGATGCCTCTCTCCCAGCCCAGGGATCATCCCCAACCCTCCAGTCAGAGTATTGGGTTCAAATCCCAGCTCCATTGCTCATAAGCTTTGAGGTCTTGGGTAAGTTACTGAATCTCTCTACATCTGTTTCACTGTGTGAAAAGTAGTAATAAAAATAGGACCTAGCTCGTGGAGATACTGTGAGGATTTAACAAAGTCTGGGCGCTGTGGCTAATGCCTATAATCCCAGCACTTTGGGAAGCCAAAGTAGGAGGATCACTTGAGCCCAGGAGTTGGAGACCAGCATAGGCAACATAGTGAGACCCCCACCTCCACAAAAAAAATTTAAAAATTAGCCAGGCGTGGTGGTGCACACCTGTAGTCCCCACTACTTGAGAGGCTGAGGCAGGAGGATTGCTTGAGCTTGGGAGGTCAAGGCTGCAGTGAGCCTTGATTGTACCACTGCACTCCAGACTGGGTGACAGAGAAAGATCCTGTCTCCAAAAGGAAAAAAAAAAAAAAGATTTAATGAGTAAGAACTAAACTCTGACTTTTTTTTCCTCTTGCCTAAATTCCTATCTAAGGGGTCTGGGGAGTCACGCCTTAGAAACCATAAAATCTCATTAGACAGGTTTTATTAACCTTTTTAAATTTTTTTAAACTTTTTTGATTGTGATGGGGGTTTCACTCTGTTGCCCAACTGGTCTCAAACTCCTGGACTCAAGTGACCTCCTGCCTTGGCCTCCCAAAAAGTTGGGATTGCAGGTATGAGCCACCACACCTGGCTGTTTTATTGATCTTATATAATGTGGTTACTTTACAACCTGACTCTGATATAGCATCACATGACAGAGAGCAGACCCTGAAGGAAACCAAAATATTTTACCCCAGTATATATATATATATTATATATATATACACAATATATATATACACACACACACACACATATATATATATAATTTTTTTTGAGACAGAGTTTCACTCTTGTTACCCAGGCTAGAGTGTAATGGTACCATCTCATCTCACCGAGACCTCTGCCTCCTGAGTTCAAGCGATCCTCCTGCCTCAGACTGCCGAGTAGCTGGGATCACAGGCATGCGCCACCACACGCAGCTAATTTCATATTTTTAGTAGAGATGAGGTTTCTCCGTGTTGGTCAGGCTTGTCTCAAACTCCCGATCTCAGGTGATCCTTCCACCTCAGCCTCCCAAGGTGCTGGGAGTGCAGGCATAAGCCACCTCACCTGGCCCAAAATATATTTCTTTGACATATTTTGAAATGGCTGCCAGAGAGCCAACAGATTGAAATGACCTTGCAAAGCCATCTTTTATGGGGAAATTTTGCATCTGTAGAAAATCTCCATTAATGTAGCCAGGACTCTCCCCTTCTAAGTCTTTCCCTGATTAGTTGAGAGTCTGACACCTTTAAAGTCTGAGAAGAGGCATTCACCATGTATTCTCTCTGAGGGCTACCACCTATAAGGCTTCATCTATATAACAAGAACCTTGGTCTCCACAACCTCCTTATCTTAAATCAGGCTTTCCTTTCTACTGATTTCAAGGATTTAAATGAAGCTTGGTGATATCACACTTTTGGGCCAATCCCACATATACTTTCCACATATTGATTTGTGATTTCAACTGTAATTCCTGTGTTCCTGAAATGTATAAAACCAAACTGTAACCTGACTAGCTTAATCTTCCTTTCTCAGGTCCTCTTGAGATTGTGTAACCTGGGATGAAGGTACTCATGTTGGCTTGGAATAAACTTCTTTAAATATATTTTGGCAGAATTTGGTTTTGCCATCAACATAAGTTTACAAGAGTAAAGCTCTTAGAACATACCTGTCAAATAGAGAACACTAAGTATTAGTGCTATTATTATTCCTATCATTGTTAGTGTTATTTCAATTATTTCCAAGAAATGATAGCAGCCTAATGGGCCATCAGCTTTGTCCTTGGCAGGGTGCAGCAGAAGAGGCTGGTTCTGCCTCTGCTCTGGTCATGTTCATGGCAGTGAATCTATACAATCTTCAGCCACCTCAGTTCTCGCCCCCTCAGAAGAAAGAATTTGACCAAGGGATAGAAGGCAAAGGGAGAGACCACAGCAAGTTTTAGAGCAGGAGTGAAAGCTTATTAAAAAGTTTTAGAGCAGGAAAGAAAGGAAGTAAAGTATGCTTGGAAGAGGGCCAAGTGGGTGACTTGAGAGATCCAACTGTCCTATTTGACTTTGACTTGGAGTTTTATACATTGGCATGCTTCTGGAGTTTTCCATCTCTCCTCCATTGATTTTTCCTTGAGGCAGGCTGTCCACATGCACAGTGGGCTGACAATACTCGGGAGGGACCGCATGTGCAGTGTGTTTACTGAAGTTGTGCACATGCTCACTTGAGGCATTTTCATTTATCAGTTGAGCATTCTTAGAGGAAGCTCATAGGTTATATACCAATTAAACTCCACCATTTTGCCTCTTCGTGTACATGCTCAAGCCTGCTTGCCCAACTCCTGAGATCTTACTGGGAAGCGGCTGATCACCCACTTCAGGTGTTTTTCATCTATCAGGAGACTGCCAATAGATGTATTGGGTGCTGTCTGTGATCAATTATTTTTTAGAGAGATGTTTTAACAACCACTCAACTATCACCTGATGGTCGCCTGACATTCCTGGGGGGAGGGTGCCCTCTCCTGCCATGCTCATGTCTGCCTAACTGCCCACTTTATCAGTTTAGTTTTTGTGGTTTACACAAGTGTCATTGTTCAGGTGACATTTTAATATTCTTATACTTGTGAACAAGGTACAAGGCTTCCTTAAGTCTACCAAGTTTTTATTCATAGAAAGATGACTCAGAAGGCTCAATTTTTCTGAATTTACCTTTTATCTCTGCTTTTTAATAATAACTCTTTTAGGCTATGCAGGAGAGGCTAGACAATGCTGCAGTAAAAATAAAGCTCTGAAATCACAATGATGTATCAGAACAATTGCTTTTCCCCTCATAGAATGTCTAGGAAAGCTTTCCTCCATGCATTGACTCAGGGTTCCAGGCTGTTTCCACCTTGTGGCTCATCAAAGGCTTTCATGGTCACAGCCAAATGAAATGGGAGATGTGGAGGGACTCTCCTAGTGAATCGCCTTGGCCTACATTTACACACACCTCTTCTATTCGAAGTCCATTAGTCAGACTTGTCACATGGCTCCAGCCACAGCAGGTGAGGAAGTAGGAGGACACATGGATTTTCTCTTCCCAGCACCCTAATGGTCTCTACCTCAATATACAAACCCAGCTTGTAGCCGCTAGTAAAGAACTGCTAGTTACTTCATTAATCAAGTCATGAGAACCTTTTTCTTATTAATTATGGTCTTGTATGTATTTGATTGAGACATCTTTAATTTAGTTACTCTTTCAATAAATATTTATTAAGTATTTCCTCTCTACAGGCACTTTTGGGCCCTGGGGGTATGTCAGTAAGTGCAACAGAACAAAGCCACTGCCTTCATAGAACAAGCATTCCAATGGGAAATGGTGAAAGACAGATAATTAACCCAAAACAAAGAAAGCAATATATTAGGTGTTAATATGTGCAACAGAGAAAAGAAAACAGGGAAGAGGTTCAAGACACAAGTGTGTGTATCTGTGTATTTGTGTATATTGAGGGAGCAACTAAATAAGATGGTTAGTAAAGAACTTCCTGCAAATGTAACATTTGAGCAAACACCCAAGGAGGCAGGAGCGCCTCGGGAGGTAAAAACCATCTGAGAAGGGGAAGAAGGAAGTGCGAAGGCCCTGAGGCAGGAGAGTGCCTGGCATGCTCAGGGGCAGTGAGGACGTCTGTGTCTGAGGAGGAGAGGTGTGGAACATGAAGTCAGGAAGCCGATGGGGTCAGGATATACTCACCCTGGAGGGTCTTGTAGCCTGTATAAGGATTTTGCTTTTACTCTTGCTTAAAAACCTCCATTTTCTTCCCACTTCCCAATATACACACTATACATCTGTCCGTTCCCCTACAGCAATGGTTCTCAAATTTCAACTAGCATTAGAATCACCTAGAAGGTTAAAATCAGACTGCCCGCATCAATGGGACTAGTGCCCTTAAAAAAGAGGCCCCAGGGCCGGGCGCGGTGGCTCAAGCCTGTAATCCCAGCACTTTGGGAGGCCGAGGCGGGTGGATCACAAGGTCAAGAGATCAAGACCATCCTGGTCAACATGTTGAAACCCCGTCTCTACTAAAAATACAAAAAAAATTAGCTGGGCATGGTGGCGCATGCCTGTAATCCCAGCTACTCGGGAGGCTGAGGCAGGAGAATTGCCTGAACCCAGGAGGTGGAGGTTGTCAGTGAGCCGAGATTGCGCCATTGCATTCCAACCTGGGTAACAAGAGCGAAACTCCGTCTCAAAAAAAAAAAAAAAAAAAGAGGCCCCAGGGAGCTGCCTTGCCCCTTCCACTGTGCAAGGATGTGATAAGAAGCCGCCATCTATGAACTAAGAATAGGGCTCTCCCCAGAAGACAGATCCCTATTCCTCACTGCCCCTCACCATGCCAGGCACTCTCCTGCCTCAGGGCCTTTGCACTCACTGCTTCCCCTTCTCAGATGGCTTTTACCCCAGAGCTCTCCTGCCTCCTTTGGGTGTTCGCTCAAATGTCACATTTGCAGGAAGTTCTTCACTAACCATCCTATTTTGCTGCTTCAGTACACACAAACAAACCAACACACACACTTGCATTTTGAACCACCTTCTGTATTTTAATTTTTCCATTGCACTTATCAACATGATATCTGGCTGGGCACAGTGGCTCAAACCTGTAATCCCAGCACTTTAGGAGGCTGAGGCAGGTGGATCACTTGAGGTCAGAAGTTTGAGACCAGGCTGGCCAGCAAGGTGAAATCTTATCTCTACTAAAAATACAAAACATAGCTAGGCGTGGTGGTAGACACCTGTAGTCCCAACTACTTGGGAGGCTGAGGCAGGAGAATCGCTTGAACCCTGGAGGCAGAGGTGGCAGTGAGCCAAGAATGCACCACTGTACTCCAGGCTGGGCAATAGAGTGAAATGCCATCTCAAAAAAAAAAAAAAAAAAAAAAAAAAAAATCAAATCTGCCGGTTTCTTATCTTGGACTTCCTAGTCTTCAGAACTATGAGAAATAGGTATTTGTTGTTTCAGCCACCCAGCTTATGATATTTTCTTATGGCACCTGAGTGAACTAAGACACTAAGTGATGCTGATGCTACGGGAACCACACTTTGAGAACCGCTGCTCTAGTGAGACAAGCTCCCTCTTGCTTTCTACTTCCTCACGAAAACCTGCTCTGATTTTTGGACAAGGCCAGCTACATAATTTTTGATGCTCAGTCAAAATGAAAATGCAAGCCGCCTGTTCAGAAAGGCAGGGGGAAAAAGGGCAGTAAAAGATACTAAAATATCACAATTATCTTTCTAAAATATTTTATAGGTAGAGCATCCCTAATTCAAAAATCCAAAATATGAAATGTTTTAAAATTCAAAACTTTTTGAGCACTGATATGACACTCAAAATGCCCTAATGAGCATTTCAAGTTTTAGGTGTTCAGATTTAGGATGCTCAACCAGTAAGTAAGTACAGTGCAAATATTCCAAAATCTGAAATCCCAAGCATTTCAGATCAGGGGTATTTAATACACTACATCGTTTAAAAAATGTAATGAGAGTAATAATGGCACATGGATAAAACACAAGTTTTTAAATGGCCAAAAAATATTTTTGGTGTTATAAGTTTATATAACAGTATGTTTTATTAATGTGATATTATAGTTAATCCGTCTTGCTTTCCTGGATATTCATTCATTTCTCATATGTTTCCTTGCATATTTATTTATTAGATCATAAAAATGTGTATTTTTAGCAACTTAATTTTCAGTTGACATAATATAAAGCAATGTCAGTTGCTATTGGCAATGCAAGATCATGAATACTTTTTGATAAATTTAATTTTGACAAGATCTACTGATCCAACTCTCACTGGAATAACATTATTTTATAGGCTATAACAACATTGGGATACATTTCTGATAAATTATTTTGAAATATGAATTTTAGTACATCTAGAGGTGATGATACCTATAGAACTATTTTCTAAAAAGGTTTAACTCTTCATGGAAATCAGTGTCTTATCAATCTGAATTTAATTGTACATGTAAATTTTAAAATTCATTAATATTTCCTCCAGCAGTTCCTGCAAGTTGTGGCAGCTACACAAGAAACAACAACAAAAAGGCTTCATAATTTGTATATAATTCAAGACATTGTTTACGCATTCTATCACTGTATCTTCAAATATAAGGATATTTCATTTTTAAATTGTCTTGCTAATTCTTGGTATATCTGGGGTTTTTCTGTGAATAATAATGTTCTTTTCTGTTGAATAGGATAACCTTTCAATTTAATTTCTATTTCCAAGCCTGTGGATATTTGGTTTGCAGTGTTGCAATGGTTTTCAAAACTCTTTGAAGAATTTTAATAACTCCCTAAATGCTTTATTACAATGTCCATGTGTAAATCCTTGTTTTATAATAATTTGTGGACAAACTTTGCTGCCTGAGCACCAGCAGTTCCTGTCACAGTGCTCAGACTAGAGAGTTAATATTTATGCAGATGCTGCAGGAACAGGCTCTGGGGACAGACTCTCCCAGGGTCGCCCCTCAGTGGATCGCCAGGGCTGCTTCTCTCTGCCACAGTCATTACTTCTGCTACTGCCATGCATCTGCTGCTTCTGCGACTGCTGCTATCACCACCAATCTGGGCCCGGGTCCCAGCCCAGCTGCCCCATCAGATATCCATGGTGCCGAGGACAGCCCCAGGTGTGCCCATGCATACCAGATGGCCAGGCCAACTCTTGGTGCTTCCCTTTGCCATGCCTATAGGCATGAGCCTGCACGTGTACACTAATACCTGGAATCTCCTCTGTTCACACGCATGCCCCATTGTCTGATCTGACTTCACAACACAAGGTCAAAGATAAAATTATCAAGAATTTCAAGACAATAAAAGCAGAACATTAAACCAAGCATGGTATTCCTTCTGAGAGTAGGCCCTGAGTTCACAGGTTGCATACCCGTGAAGCTGGTCCTGCTTCGAATTAAGTGAATTACCATAACTTTTGTCATGTACGTCTTATCTTATTTTCTAACAATGTGTCATACTAAATTATTTAAGGTCTATTTTCTCCATTAAATCAGAGGTCAGCAAACTATGGCTCATTGGCTGAATCCAGCCCATTTGTTATTTTTAAAATTGTTTACATTTAAGATGTACACCATGATGGATTTTGTTGTTGTTTGTTTTTTCGTTTTTGAGACAGAGTCTTGCTCTGTTGCCCAGGCTGGAGTGCAGTGGTGCTATCTCTGCTCACTGCCACCTCTGCCTCCTAGGTTCAAGTGATTCCCATGCCTCAGTCACTGAGTAGTGGGATTACAGGAGTGTACCACTACACCTGGATAATTTCTGTATTTTTAGTAGAGATGGGGTTTCACTGTGTTGGCCAGGCTGGTCTTGAACTTCTGGCTTATATGATCCACCCACCTTGGCCCCACAATGTGTTGGAATTACAGTTGTGAGCCACTGGCCAACATGATGTTTTGATAAACATATACATGGTGAATAATGCCTGATACACATATATATTGTTATAGTGAAGCAAATTAACATATCCATCATCTCATATAATTACCTTTTTGTGTGATAAGAGTACCTAAAATCTACTCTCTTAGCAAATTTCCAATATATAATACCTATTAACTATAGTCCTCATGTTCCACATTAGATTTCTGGATTTATTCATCTTATAGGAACCGCAACTTTGTACTTTTCGACCTACATCGTTCCATTTCCCTCACTCACCCCTCCCATGGTCACCACCATTTCCTCTTTGCTTTTATGTATTCAACTTTTTGTTCCTTCCTGTTTTTCAATAAAGTTTTATTGAAACACATTGACACTCATTTGTTTACATATGGTCTATGGCTGCTTTCAACAGCAGGTTTGAGTAGTATGACAAGGAATGCTTGGCCTACAAAGCCTAAAACATTTGCTGCTTGGTCATTTATAGAACAAATTTGTTGATCCCTGCACTGGACTGTAGGATTCCCAAAAGCAGGAACTATATCTGTCCAGTTCACTTCAGTGTTCCCAATGCCTAGGGCAGGGCCTGGCATATAGAGAATGCTTACTCAACCCTTGCTGAAAGAAAAAATGAATAGTTGAAGAGCCTAGCCTTTTTTGAAGTAACTCATTTTATCTAAAAGAAAATCATCTTTAACTAGAGTCACATAGTAGAAAAGAAAATTTCTTTTCTGTTTTGTTTTCACATACAAATGATATTTAAAATTACTTACCTTATGGTGCAATTCACTCTCCAGGGAAATCTAAGGTGATTATCTTGTGGCTTGGCATGCCCTCTGGCACACACTCCAGGCTGGAGAGGCACAGGCATTGAATAGAATAGCATTAATCATTCAACAACTATTTATTGAGCAAAGCATGGGGCTAGGCATGATAACAGAAATGACAATGATTCCACTATGTCTTCCCAATAGACCTGCAGAGCCTATAGACCAAAGAAAAAAAAGACTCACTAATATATATGAATACTCACATGTAACTAAACCATAAAAAGTGTTAAGTAAAAAGGAAAATGTCTGGATGTAGTGCTTTGAGTTTTCAGAGCCAGGACGGATTCCTTTTGGCTGCAGAATCCGGAAAGGCTTTGTGCCAGTCATTCTCTGTTTGGTTTCAGATCTGATCCCCACTCTTCTGCATTGCTTTGCACCACAAGATGCTGGCCCCTGCAAACTACATTTCCGTGGCTGCCCTGCCAACTGGCTCCATCTAGGCTCTGTCAGTGGGAGGCCACGGAAAGAGACTGGAGGACTGGACAAAGGGAAGAGAAGCGCCACAGCTCCTTCCTTTCTCCTGCACCAGAGAGAGGAGTTGGTATTTCTCCTCTCTCTCTGAACCTCAGTTTTCTCACTTTTCCAATGGAAAAAGCAATCGTGTCTATTTCATAGAATTTTTTACGAGAATGAAATGAGATTAAGGCATGCAAAATGCTTAGCACAATACCTGATAAGTAATAAGCATTTAAAAAATAGAGGCTAGGTGTGGTGGCTCACGCCTGTAATCCCAACACTTTGAGAGGCTGAGGCAAGTAAATCACTTGAGTCAAGGAGTTCGAGACCAGCCTGGGCAACATGATGAAACCCCATCTCTACCAAAATACAAAAATTTGCCCAGCATGGTGGTACATGCTTGTAGACCCAGGTACTTGAGAGGCTGAGGTGGGAGGATTGCTAGAACGCAGGAGGCAGAGGTTACAGGGAGCCGAGATCACGCCACTGCACTCCAGTCTGGGTGACAGAGTGAGACCCCATCTCAAATAAATAAATACATAAACAAACAAAATAAATTCATAGAGCTATTGTTGCTTTTAGGCTTGCTCAGGAAAGTGGGAAGGAGTGCTTCCCATAATCAGTGATGTCTGCTAAAGGTAAAAGGTGAGTAGAGCTATACGTGAGGAATATTTAGCAACATATATTAAAACTGTATTGATATAAACAACGAACTGATATTAATATAGTAAAACTGTACTGTAGAGTTAGAATTGACAGGACCTGGCAAGCAGACTGGCAGACACTCTAGAAAGGGATTAAGAAAAAGCAAAGGCCTGGGACGGTGATACCAAAGCACACACAGTCAATACATGAGAAACAGTGGGCTCAGGAGAAAATACTATGAATTTACTTTCAGACAATGGTGTGTGGACCTTTCCAGTTACAAAAACAAAAACCCAAAATAATGCATTCAGGACACATTAACAGGTGGGGATTTTTGTTAGAGATATATATGCAGTGAGTTAGCAAAACGAAATCAAAACATTTCAGCGGCTGCACATTCTGGCCTTGTGAATTGGAAAACTGTCCAGGAAACCACAGCAACGGCAGTTCCTAGAGCCTGGCCTCCTCTGAAGACGAGAAACCACTGTTTTTTACTCAGCAGTTCTACCCTGCTCAAGGCTCCTTCTGTTTCCTGTCTCCCTCTTTCTGGTTTTCCCTTTCTTGCCTCTGTTTCTGTGGCTGTATTTGTCTTGCATTCAAGGTGATCAGGCGGGATATTGACCACCCAATATGAAGCTTCTCAACTGGGCTGCATCCTCAGGTTGGGTCTGACCCATGTTAGATGCCTTGGGCTCAGCATAGCAGTTTTGGTCAGCACAGCAGATTCACAAGAAGCAATGCAAAGACCCACCTTTCTCAGAAGGAGCTGTGTAACCAGTCGGTTTTATGGCCAGGCTGGTGCAGAAAGGTGAATTAGAGATGTCACTGAAAGCTCCAAGGAACTGAAAAGGTAAGACTGGATTGTGGTTGAGGGAACATTGAATAACACTGAGTATTATACAAGTAACATACAATTACTTTTGATTTTCTATATTTCATAGGGATTTGCTCATGTAGTAAGATCAGTATCTTTCCAAGGTTTAGGGCAGAGCAATCAGAAGTTATTTCTGGAAAAGATGGTTCTTTCAATGGGACCCAAAAAGTTGGATGATTTGCAGAGGGAGGGATTTTACTACTGTCCCTTATAAGAACTTTCCTAATTTCCTAGAAGAACAACTTTGAAATTGGTTTGAAAGCAGGGATGTGGTGAGGTTAGGGTTTCTTTACTGCATTGAGAGTAAAATATTCTACAGCTCAGGAAAACAAACAGAACAGCCCAACCCTCTGTGATTCTTCCCAGAACTCTTCTCATCCAGCATCTCTCTTGATACTGAAGGAACACAGAGCTTGCAACACACATATTCCAAAGATAAGCTGAAACAATGTCACTTATGCGAATTTCTTTCAACATGAAGAGAGAAAGAAAAAGTGGAGAGACCAAAGACAAAAAAATAAAGAAAAGAATAAATAGCAGGCCAGGCACGGTGGCTCAAGCCTGTAATCCCAGCACTTTGGGAGGCCGAGGAGGTGGATCATGAGGTCAAGATATCGAAACCATCCTGGTCAACATGGTGAAACCCCATCTTAGCTGGGCATGGTGGCGCGTGCCTGTAATCCCAGCTACTCAGGAGGCTGAGGCAGGAGAATTGCCTGAACCCAGGAGGCGGAGGTTGTGGTGAGCTGAGATCGCGCCATTGCACTCCAGCCTGGGTAACGAGAGCGAAACTCCTCCTCAAAAAAAAAAAAAAAAAAAGAAAAAGAAAATAATAAATAGCTAATATTTGGAAAACCTGTTATTGATGGAGCTCTAAAGGGCAGATGGACCCTTGTTCTTAAAATCCCAGGTGAGAAAAAACAGAACAATTGTTTATGCAGCTACACCCAAGAGGTGGTATGTACACTTTTCCTTTAATTCTTAACAGAGAAACACCACAGCACTCAAAATCCTCTTTTAGAATAACTTGAATTTAAAATAATGAATTTTACAAATACCACCAAAGAAGTAAAAATTTCTAAATAAAAGAAAAAATAGCCAGTATTTTATTATCCTCTAATTCTGCCCCCTTATTTTGTAAGTACATTTATAATTCTAATTCACGCGCATAAGCAATGTTTATGTAATTGTCATCAGGAGCCCCTGGGCTCACTACGAAGACCTTCCAAACCTGAACGGTGTCTTGGCACTTGGGGTCTATGTTATTTGGCCAGTTACTTAAACTCTCTAAGCCTCAGTTTTCTCATCTGAGAAGTAGGTAAAATAATACGTGCTTGAGGATTAAATGAGATGACATCTATAGAGTGCCTAGTTCAATGCCTGGTACATGCTCAGTCAATGGTAATTATTGATTTTCCATCATTAAAATTAGGGAGCTTTGTAAGCCAGGCTGGTTGAACAGGAGAGTTTAGCAGTTAAAGTCTGTGCTTGCTCCCCATTTTTTCCCTCCCCACAATGATGCAATCCTGTGTCTCTTTCCTTTGGCTGCCCCGCCCACCCAATCCAAGATGAAAGAAGTTACATACACAACAAACATTATGTGAGAACCTGCTATGTGCTGGAAGGGCCCAGGTGAGGACTTGGGGAAATCAAATGCTGCTGCTAGCGGCTGCTGTAAACACACTGCCGTGCCCCAACATTATGTTGAGCATTTCATATGCGTAATCTAAACCAGTCTCATAAATGTGGCCATTGTGATTCTCATGCAGTTGAGGAATTCATTTCTCAGGAAGCTTACTGTTATGGGCTGAAGTATGTTTCCCCCAAATTCTTATGTCTAAGCCCGAACTCCCAGTACCTCAGAATGTGACTGTATTTAGAGATAGGGCCTTTATTTATTTATTTTTATTTAGTTATTTTTTTGAGATGGGGTCTTGCTCTGTTGCCCAGGCTGGAGTAAAGAGGCACGATCTTGGCTTACTGCAACCTTCACCTCCTGGGTTCAAGCAATTCTCTGCCTCAGCCTCCCAAGTAGCTGGAATTACAGGTATATGCCACCACACCTGGCTAATTTTTTTTTTAATTTTTAGTAGAGATGGGGTTTCACCATCTTGGCCAGGCTAGTCTTAAACTCCTGACCTTGTGATCCACCCACCTCGGCCTCCCAAAGTGCTGGAATTACAGGCATGAGCCACCACAACTGGTGGAGATAGGGCCTTTAAAGAGATGATTAAGTTGAAATGAGGCCATTAGAGTGGGCCCTCATTCCATCTCTTCATAGTGTCCTTACTGATATCCTTATAAGAAGAGGAAGGCTGGGCGCGGTGGTTCATGCCTGTAATACCAGCACTTTGGGAGGCCAAGGCAGGTGGATCACGCGGTCAGGAGATCAAGATCATCCTGGCTAACACGGTGAAACTCTTGTCTCTACTAAAACTACAAAATATTAGCCAGGTGTGGTGGCATGCACCTGCAGTCCCAGCTGCTTGGGAGGCTGAGGCAGGAAAATTGCTTGAACCCAGGAGGCAGAGGTTGCAGTGGGCCAAGATCGCACCACTGCACTCC